ACGAAATTTCCGAGGCCTCATCTATCGCCCCCTAACGAGATTGCCGTGCTTGTGGACGGTTTCGCCACAACTGCTCTTGTCGACACAGGTGCCGCTATTTGTATAATCAGTGAAGTGTTATGCCGCAAACTGAACAAAGTGACGACTCCACTGGTTGAAACTTCTTTACGCACGGCGAGTTCGCAACACGTCCAACCTTCTGCCACATGCACTGCTCGTGTTGTGATTCAAGGAGTGCTTTACATCGTAGAATTTGTCGTCCTTCCGCATGCGTCACATGAAATCATTCTGGGATGGAACTTTCTTTCCGCTAATCATGCGGTTGTCGACTGCGCTCGTGCTCAACTCTTTTTGTTTCCATTCCGCACGACATTCATAGATCTCCCTCGCTCACCCAAAAAGGTGATCGTCGCCGCTGACGTCGTCATTTCTGCTTTTTCGGTAACCGCGGTATCTCTTTTGTGCAACTCCGTTTCCGATTCAACTGCCCTATTTATGCCGTCACAAGAATGCGCTCGTCGCCGGAACCTTGTCGTCCCGTTTGCCGTCATAACACTTGCCGATGGCTCCAGTGCCGTGTACGTGTGCAATCCGTTCCCTTGTCCCGCTACCTTATTGCATGGCGAATGCATTGGAAGGCTTGACACTTATGATGACATCTTTCCTTTCGATGCCCGTTCTGATACGACACCGATGTCCGTGGATGCTGTCACAGCTGGCACCGCGCCCTCACTACCTGACGAAGACGTTTTGTTGCGCAGCGTAGACGCCGGCCTTACGCAAGACCAGCGCAATCAGCTCATTCAACTACTTGACCGTTTCCGCGCCTCCTTCGACCACGGACAACCTCCCTTGGGACGCACGTCAGTTGTCGCTCACCATATCGACACCGGTCATCATACTCCACTTCGTCAGCGCCCCTACCGCGTCTCGCAGGCCGAGCGTGACGTCATCACTCAACACGTCGACGAGATGCTGCAACGTGGTGTTATTCAGCACTCACACAGTCCTTGGGCTTCGCCAGTGGTCCTCGTGCGAAAAAAGGATGGCTCCATCAGGTTTTGCGTGGATTATCGTCGACTAAACAACATCACACGCAAGGATGTTTATCCCCTGCCACGCATTGATGACGCCTTGGATTGACTTCAAGGTGCGGAGTTTTTCTCTTCACTGGATCTGCGCTCTGGATATTGGCAAGTACCAATGGCTGAACCAGACCGTCCAAAAACGGCGTTTGTGACCCCTGACGGCTTATATGAATTTAATGTAATGCCCTTCGGTCTTTGCAATGCGCCTGCGACTTTTGAAAGAATGATGGACAGTGTCCTCAGGGGACTTAAATGGCACATCTGTCTTTGCTATTTAGACGACATAGTTTTATTCTCGGCGAATTTCGAAACTCATCTTTCCCGTCTGGAACAAGTCCTCCAGTGCCTTACGGCAGCCGGGTTGCAACTTAACTTCAAGAAATGTCGTTTTGGCGCCCGCAAACTCACAATTCTCGGCCACGTCGTTTCAAAAGAAGGAATATCGCCAGATCCTGCCAAACTGCGTGCCGTTGCCGAGTACCCCAAGCCTACTACCCTAAAGGAGCTTCGTAGTTTCATAGGCTTGTGTTCCTATTTTCGGCGTTTCATTCGCAATTTTGCCTCTATAATTGCCCCTCTGACTCAGCTTCTCTCCCGTAGCACGGACCTCTCTGGCTGGAATTCCCACTGCGATGAGGCATTCACGGCGCTACGCCGGCTACTCATCTCTCCGCCAGTTCTCCGCCACTTCGATCCCAATGCACCCACTGAAATTCACACGGATGCAAGCGGTGTCGGCCTCGGTGCCATTCTCGCTCAACGCAAGGATGGCTGCGACGAGTACGTTGTCGCCTATGCCAGCCGTACACTAACGAAGGCAGAGTCCAACTATTCCGTCACGGAAAAGGAGTGCTTGGCTATCATTTGGGCTATAGGAAAATTTCGCACCTACCTTTACGGACGCCAGTTTGATGTTGTCACAGATCACCATGCCTTATGCTGGTTAGCGTCCATGAAAGATCCTACTGGCCGCCTCGCTCGTTGGGCTTTACGCCTTCAGGAATACGATATCCGTGTTGTTTATCGCTCAGGACGCAGACATTCAGACGCCGATGCACTATCCCGTTCTCCACTGCCTCCTGACCTTGCCTGCTTATCAACTGCCATTTGCGATTCGTCATCGTTGAGCATCACTGACATGCCATCCGAACAGCGCAAGGATCCCTGGATCAATTCTTTGCTCGACGTCCTCTCTCACAGTTCGTCAGAAACGACTTCACGCTCCCTCTCTCGTCAAGCAAGACACTTTGCTGTCCGTGAAGGCTTGTTGTATCGCCGCAATTACGTGACGGATGGCCGTAGGTGGCTCCTTGTCATCCCTCGTCATTTGCGTTCGGACATCTGCGCTGCCTTTCACGATGACCCCCAGTGTGGCCACGCTGGAGTATTTAAGACTTACTCTCGCCTTCGTCTAAGATACTACTGGCGCGGCATGTATCGGCACGTTCGCCAGTACGTTCGGTCATGCACCACGTGTCAACGACGCAAGACGCCTTCTCACAGCACTGCTGGCCCTTTGCAACCCTTACCCTGCCCAGCGAGACCATTCGACCGCGTCGGAATTGATATTTATGGTCCTCTACCCAACTCTCTTCGAGGCAACCGGTGGATTATCGTCGCCGTGGATCATTTAACACGCTACGCTGAAACATCTGCGCTGCCTGCTACCACTGCGAAAGACGTTGCGTCCTTTCTTCTTCACCATCTCATTTTGCGACACGGTGCACCTCGTGAATTACTCAGTGACCGTGGACGCGTGTTTCTCTCGAACGCCGTCGACGAGCTACTCAAGGCATGTCGCACTGTCCATAGGAAATCCTCGGCATACCATCCCCAAACCAATGGCATGACAGAACGCTTTAACCGTACCCTTGGAGATATGCTTGCCATGTACGCCTCTGACGACCACACTAATTGGGACCAAGTGCTCCCTTTTGTCACGTACGCGTACAACTCTGCGCCACAAACAACCACTGGCTTTTCTCCTTTCTTCCTTCTGTACGGACGTGAGCCATCATGCTCCATGGACACCATTCTCCCTTACAAGCCTGATGTTTCCGAAGCGACGCCTGTTTCCGAAGCAGCTGCTTATGCCGAAGAGTGTCGTCAACTCGCTCGCTCATTTACCGCACAAGACCAATGGCGCCAGAAAACTGACCACGATTCCTCTGCGTCTACTGTACACTATAACCCAGGAATGCTGGTTTGGCTCTGGGTCCCGTCTACCCCTCCCGGTCTTTCCCCGAAGCTTTCGTCGAAATACCATGGCCCCTACCGTGTGGTGCGGCAAACATCTCCTGTCAACTATGAAGTTGAGCCCATTGATCCACCCTCGGACCAACGCTGCCGTGGGCGTGAAACAGTACACGTATCACGCCTCAAACCGTGCTATGACCCCCTTGTCGTGTCCTTTCCCTAGGTCGCCAGGTTGGCTCCTTTCTGCGCGGGGAGTAATTGTACCGAAGCATAGTGGCGCCAGCTCTGTGCCAGCGTGAAAGAAGACGTTGACGTCCGTGTGTGTCTCGTGCTTGCCGGGTTCCTGCCTGTACCAGCTTGTTGCGGCTAACGTTTCTGGAATAATAACCTGTGTTTTTACGCAACCTTGCTCGTTGCAGTACATTCGGTTTGTCGCAGCTTCCTGATATATGTTCAAAATATATTAATTCCTCATGTGTGCATAAACTTCAACTTATCGCGGGCTGATGCTCATTTTTAATTTTTTTAAAAATAATGCTTATTTCATTGAGATATACCTGTCTTTCTTTCTTTTTTTTTTCACTGTGCACCTACATCATGCATCAAAACACTTGTGTTTGCGTCTTTTTATCTAGTTGTTGAATTTTTTTATGCGAGCGCTGTAACTATTGTCGTTCCCGACACTAGGAAAACCTTTCGAGCCACTATAGCCAAAAGTATCTATAAATGTTGACTCTAGCACAAGTATCATAATTACAGACCCGCAGACGTAGCTCGGATTTGCGTACTAAAAAAACTTTGTTATTGCATTTTAATGTAAACAACATACGTAAATATATGTCACGCAAATACTTAGAGCGCAAAATATTTTTTTCTGTTTTAGGGAGAAAAGTAAAAAGTTAAGCTCGCGAAATTTAAAACATTCGCAGGTGAACGCAAAAGTGAACGCAAAAAGGGAAAAAAAAAGAACAGCAGCGGTCATAATCACCACAAAAAAAGCCCATGTCTTTTGAATAAAAATTATACAATTGTTGATGCAGACATGTACACGCGAGATTTTATTGCAATGATTGATGGCCCTTATGCATAGGCCCTTCTGCATAAGGGGGGGGGGGGCGCTTTCCGTTTTCCCCTTTGTCACTGAAGAGGGGGGCGCAAAGTCAGCCTATACATAGAGAAATAGAGAGAGCCTGCGCACAGCGACCCGAGGGCGGGGGGGGGGGGGGGGGAGAAATCACCTCTCTTCCTTTCTGTTTATTCGTGCGCTTGAACTGACAGTTATACCATGCATATCCAACTAGCCCAACTTTTGATTCTGTTGAGAATGGTTTGACTCGGATGCTTAATGAACGAGCAGATCACAAGCGCAAGACGTTTAATCCATCCTTTCCTGCCCCCTGCATCAGTTGGCTACTAAAGCATGATGGTGGATGTGCTAGCACATATATACAGGGACAAGCAGTCACTGTCGGTATATGTATACCAAATTACAGCTACGAAACTATACCGGATAACTTTCCAGCTTATATGTACACATAATTGCCGCAGCTTTCAAGAGCTATATTTTCTCCAGTGCAAGTAACATAATATCTGGGTTTTTACGTCCCGAAGCCAAGATATGATTACGAGGGACGCCGTAGTAGAGAGAGAGAAAGAGAGTTAGACTTTATTAACTTCTGGCAGATTGCTGGGCGGGGCTACCACCTAGGAGCTAACGGAGAGACCGTGTCTCTCGGCAGCTTCCTTGGCCAGCTGGATCACCAAGAGTTGCTTGACCTGGCCCGAACTGAGCAGCGCAGTCCGCCAACGTGCCCGACGGTCTCCATTGGAGGCCACTACACGAGAATTTTCTATTAATGCTGGACATTCCCATAGGATATGGTCAAGAGTGGCTCTGGTGGTACAGTACTGGCACAGATTAAAACTATAGACGTCGGGATATATGTGGTGCATGATGACGGGCTTCGCGTATGTGCGTGTTTGTAGCTGTCGCTACTGAACGGACTGGGCTCGATTTCGCTTGGGGTGTGGCGGAGGGTACTCCCGCCTTTGCAGTCGATAGTGCTGAGTTATGTCATTAAATTTAGTGAGCCGATCGCCCCATTCCCACACCGGCGCAGGAAAGTCCGTTTGGGTGGCCGCTTCGTCTGACGCGACTCGAAACGTAAGACCTCGAGCCAGGTTGTGCGCCACTTCATTTTGGACTGTCCTCCGGGCTACCTAGTGGGGTGTGGGCAGGGAACCAAAGGATGTGCACCTATTTGTCGTCCTCGTGAATTTTGCCTTTACTAAGAATCTGCAATGCCTCGCGAGAAATTCTGCTGCTGGCGTAGTTTCGAAAGACCGTCTGGCTGGGAAAATTTCGACCATCTGGTGCTTTTTAGCGTTCACAACAATCACATAGCGCACGCGCATCTATCGCATTTCGCCTCCACTGAAATGCAACCACCTCGGCCAGAATCGAACCCACGACCTTTGGGTCAGCAGCCGAGCTTCGAAGTCGCATCGCGGCAGACCCCGTGCAAACAAGCTGTACAATTTACCCAAAGAGCTGAAGTTTTCGGGAAAGTTCTTTATACGCTGTAGTACAGTGTCTAGAAAGATACTGCCTAGTGTGCTTAGCGCGGGCTAGGAGATGGCACTGCCGCTGATGACTGCCGGCAGCGCCCACATGGTGCGCTGCTGTGCGATGATGATGATGAAAAACATTTATTGTAAAAGAGAGAGGTACGGGGCCAAAGCATGACCCTGCTACATGGTCGGCGTCCTTAGTCCGGGACACCGCATGACGAGGCCCCTACTCGCGCCCGTCTCACCAGAGCCCGTTGAGACTCTAGTGATGAGCTGTCGAGGAGGGCAGTCTCCCATGCCTCTCGGGAAGGGGTAGGGGAAGGGGGTAGGTGGAAATTTTTCGGACATGCCCATACCATGTGGAAGATATCACACGTCTCCCCACAGTGTGGGCACCGCCCATCTGTGTTCGCATCGAAATGCTTTAGGATTGCAGGACAGAGTAGAGTACCTGTCTGCAGGCGCCTTAGAGTTCGCTCTTCCGCCTTACTCAGCCCCTTTGCAGGAGCCGGGTAAAGGCGGTGAGTGTCACGATAATAGGTGAGAATTTCTTTGAACCGCAGCAGCGGTGTATTGGCCTCCGAGTCATAAGAGCCAAGGTGAGGAGCCCGGTGGGTAAGCGCTCGGGCGGCCGCGTCAGCGGCCTCATTACCTCGTAGGCCCTGATGGCCAGGAGCCCATACGATGCGTTTCGGGGCTGGATCAGCGAGAGCCCGTTTTAGAATTTGGCTGGCTAGGGGGGATATCTCTCCTACCAAGTAATGAGTACATGCTTTCCTGGAGTCCGTGATGATAACTTTCGAGTTGGGGTCCGCAGCAGCAAGCGCTATCGCGACTTCCTCAGCACGCTCTGGATTTTGTGCTCGGAACGAGAGCCCATTGACATGCTTTTCCCCTGCTGTGCGAGTGGGTGCATTTGCGATCGATCCTTGCACTCCACAAGCACTGCGAAGCCTGCAGGAGGCCGAGCCGCGCGAGGACAACTATTAATTTTCTGCATTTTCAGAGTGTTTTTTTTTACATAATGCGTTATTGTATAGGAACTACTTGATTGCGTTCACAGTACTGGCGCTTTGCAATACCAAATGAAGATCATTTCGTGGCATACATTTCGCCATACGCTACTGCCCGCGATAAAAAAAAAAGAGACGCAAATCCCACGTAACTTGGGAATCAATGCCATGCAAGGTGACTCTGTTGCAATTTTTTAATAAGTGAAACATTATGAAGTGGCACTAATTATATTCAAGAAATTGGATAGTCAACACTGGAAGCAGCATTGGCGTTTCACGAACATTTGGCTCTTCTTGCAAATTATTTTGAAGACCCTAAGTTAAAGCGGTGATTGTGAGGGCACCCAGGTAGATAGATAGATAGATAGTAGATAGATAGATAGATAGATAGATAGATATAGATAGATAGATAGATAGATAGATAGATAGATAGATAGATAGATAGATAGTAGATAGATAGATAGATAGATAGATAGATAGATAGATGGATAGATAGATAGATAGATAGATAGATAGATAGTAGATAGATAGATAGATAGATAGATAGATAGATAGATGATAGATAGATAGATAGATAGATAGATAGATAGATAGATAGATAGATAGATAGATAGATAGATAGATAGATAGATAGATAGATAGATAGATAGATAGATAGATAGATGATAGATAGATAGATAGATAGATAGATAGATAGATAGATAGATAGATAGATAGATAGATAGATAGATAGATAGATGATAGATAGATAGATAGATAGATAGATAGATAGATAGATAATAGATAGATAGAATAGATAGATAGATAGATAGATAGATAGATAGATAGATAGTAGATAGATAGATAGATAGATAGATATCAAAGTGGTTGCGTATGCAAAGAAATTATTTTTTTAAACCACTGACAGTATAACCACCCAGAGTTATTTTTCAAAATGTACTTTGTTCTTGAGAGCAAGAATTATCACAGAAGACCCTAAAACCTTTACCTATTAATCTGCATTCCATTAAGAATTCGAGTGAAAACAAAGAATGCTAACATGTCACTGATATCATTCTGACACTCGCCGCTTATGATACTCAAAACGTTGTTAAGAAAGAAATTCCGACGTTGACATGGAAGAAAACTGTGTGAATGAAATTCGAAAGGGTATTTTCGATTTTTTAGATAAATATTAATATTTTGAAATTTCGCCTAAACGGCGATTTTCATTCCCGACACCGTTCACCCTCATCCGAAAGGATAGTTCGGTGGAGTCACTCTCAAATGCTTTTCTCACACGACAGCCTTCGTATTCAGCCTTCTGTCTGCCCTCTTGATCCTACTTTTTCATTCAGGAAACCGTGCTGGAGGCGTAAGTGCGGGGAACAAGACACCTTTTTCTTGTTCGACCGATAACTTCTTTGACACAGCGGCACAATACACGTCCTTTCTTTGCATTGCCGCTTAGCTCAGGGTGTTGCAGTGTACATATAACGCCGTCGAACTTCACAGTAAATCAGATGTCAGCTGTCACACACTGATTTTAAACGTGGCGAGGCAATGGCAGCAACAGGACGAGAGAAATTTCGCGCGTTCATGCACCCTCTCGACACGCAGCGCCACTTGTGGCATCTAGTGCAGCCACCCACTCTGGTACGGAATGCGCGCGCTCAGCCCACTAGGTGGTTATTTCTAGACACTGTAGCTGCAGTACTCACCTGTGATAGCGCTCATCAGGGTTGTCTTTCCAGCACCGTTGTGGCCAAGCAGCGCAGTCACTTGGGTTGTGTAGATCTTGAAACTGACCTTGTCATTTGCGGTGAACGAGCCGAACCTCTGCGAATAAGTTCATCATAGATGCAAAACAAAAACAGTCCTTAAGCTACTGAGATGCAGTTCTACTCGATAACAAAAACCGCTCATTCCTATCATGGCTGCATCAGGTCCACGCAAAGTGAGCCATGCAGTATCAGACTAAACTAGAGCTTATAGCTTAGCAAATAGCTATAACGAAAAAAGAAAATATAAAAGTTGAACTTCGACGACAAACACAAGAAGTAACATAAACTTGTAGACTGCTATCAGAGTACGTTGTGTCGGTGATACTCAGGAAACCAATGCAAGCTATAAAACTTGGGCTCTTGATGTTGGGAGAAATCTTGTACATACCAAGGTAACTAGACAATGCGTCCATACGAACCCAAGCTCAAAGTTAGACATGATTCGTGTTCCTATTGTCACGTAGCATTAAAGATCAAATGAAGTCCTTGCTAAGCAGGCGCTGTTTCTCTGTAAAGCAGACAAGACATACAGAACCTCCTTTTTTCTCTCCTATTTTTGTAATATAATATCGTGTTTCTCTTACCACCGTCAAGGCGCGGATGTCTACAGCTGCCGCAAGGTCCGGCGGGGCTTCGAAACGTTCGGGGTCTCTCTTTTGCACGTCACCCTCGACTTCCGGAAGCACCTTAGCGGGCATCCAGTAGTTGGGCTGCACGCAAGGGTGTTTATGCTTTAGCGACGCCTCAATGACACCGCAAGACGAAATATCTATTTTTATTTATTTATTTATTTATTTATTTATTTATTTATTTATTATTTATAATACCTCAAGGGCCCCAGTCAAGGGATGTTACATGAGGGGGTAGACAGTTCACAAACAGATGATTTGTTCGATGGCTTCTTTGAAATGGGCGATGCTGGAGTGGTGCACGATGTCAGCAGGAAGATCGTTCCATTCTGTTGATGTTTGCACAAAAAAATGAAGAGGGATGGGCAGTGGTATGTGCACGGGCTGGATAAACCGCTTTCGAATGGCTGATACGGCATGAAAGACGATGGGCTGGAACGATAACATGGTTTAGGTGCAAGGCATGATAAAATGTGTGAAACACAGTCTTGAAATTTGGCAGCGTGGAGCTAAGTTAACCATGTTAGCTTGAGATTTTAGTTCGGTGACGCTGCTAAGATAAGAATAGTCAGAATAAATGAATCTGGCTGCACGATTTTGGATAGTTTCAAGCGTTTTAATAAGAGTTATTTGATGGGGATCCCAGATGGCACATGCGTATTCTAGCTTCGGGCGGACTAATGTTAGATAGGTTAAACGTTTAGCAGAAGGTGGGGCTAGACGTAAGTTTCTTCGGAGATAGCCAAGAACGCGGTTGGCGTCATTAGTAGATGTTCATAATGTGGGATGACCAGGTCACATCTGAAGTTAGAGTGATACCGAGGTATTTACATGAATTAGCTGCTGTTATTTCAGAATCAAATAGGAAGTATTTATTGTAGGAATAAGGTTGACGGCGATGGAAGGAAATGACACAAGTTTTCTTGATGCTAAGGGACATCAGCCATTTTTCGCACCATGATTGAATCAAACAAAGATCAGACTGTAGGATGAGAGGGTCGTTTGGATTTTGAATAGGACGATAAATGACACAGTCGTCTGCGAACATACGAATGTTAGACGCTAAGTTATTGGGGAGGTCGTTAATATAGATTAGGAATAGTAGAGGACCAAGGACCGTGCCTTGAGGTACGCCGGAGGTTGCAGCGGATAGGGAGGAGCGATGGTTATTAGCACAAACGAACTACTTACGGTTAGTCAAGAAGTCACATATCCAATTAAAAACAAGACAATTAAGGTTAAGACGTGAAAGCTTCAAAAATAATCTGTTATGAGAAACTTTGTCAAAGGCTTTTTCGAAATCAATGAAAATGGCATCTACAGGTATGTTATTATCCAAGCTAGAACTCAGGTCGTCTACAGGTATGTTATTATCCAAGCTAGAACTCAGGTCGTTAACGAACAGGGCGAGTTGAGTGTCACATGAAAGTCCTTTTTGAAAACCGTGTTGGTTAGGGTGAAAGAAATGTACTGAACGTAGAAAAATTACTATGTGGGAATAAATTATGTGTTCCAATAATTTAGAGCATACACTTGTGATGTATATGGGGCGATAATCGGTGAAGATGAAAGACCTTTTTTCGGGACAGGAACGATCTTACCAAGCTTCCAGTCTTCCGGCCCCACTCCGCATGAAATGGACTGCTGAAATATGTGCGAAAGAAGAATGTTTGTTATAGGCTTAGTGTTTTTCAGAATTTTGGAATTGATGCCATTCATTCCCGCGGATGACATTAGTTTCAATTCGTCAATTAGTTTTGCAATACCGTATCAATCGAATGTAATGCCTGGCATGACAGGATGATCAAAAAATGGGGAGTCTGGAAGCGGGCTGCAAGATTCAGGGGTAAATACGGAAGAGAAGGCAGTATTTAGTACTTGAGGGGTAACAGGTTCTGGAATAGGATCGCCGTGTTCATCAAGTAAGGATAACGTTTTTGTGGGGTTGGGGTTAATGGCTCTCCAACATTGTTTAGGGTTATTTCGTAGCATATCAGGTAATATAGAAGAGAAAAAAGAACGCTTAGCCTTCGCAGCGAGTGATTCAAATTCCTTTGCCGTTCCGCGGTACTTGTTCCAAGCGCTCGCACTGTTAGACAGTTTAGCCGAGCGATATATTCGCTTTTTCTTGTTGTTAAGACGCTTAAGAGATATGTTGAACCAAGGTGAAGACGCCCGTTCCGTTATTGTAATTGTGGGTATAAATCTATTGATCAAATCATGGATTTTGCACTTGAACAAAGACCACTTAGTTTCAAGAGGGCGTTGGAAAAAGTCATTTAAATAGCATTCACAAAATATGGATAGTTCGTTGTTATTGGCGGCATAGTTACCCTTATCGTAGAGTGTGAGGGTTTTCTTGGAATGGCTTTTGCCTGGTATTTGATTAGAAAACGAAGCGTGAAGCACAGCGTGATCACTAATCTCTGAAAGAGGAACTAGGGATGCAAGATTGCCGGGGTGTGACGTGAAAATGAGGTCGAGAATATTTGAAGAGTGCTCAGTAGCTCGCGTTGGGAATGAAACAAGCTGAGATAAACCGAATGTTAGGCACGTGTTAACAAAGTCGCTTTCCATAGTGTGTTTAGATATCGTGAGCGCGAGGTTAGACCAGATTATTCCTGGGAAGTTAAAGTCACTCATTCAAATAACTGGTATGTTAGGATAAGGGGCATTCAGGAAGTTAAGAGAACTGTGGAAATTAGCGATAAATGAAGCATCTGCGTCAGGGGGGCGGTAACAGACTCCGATGATAACCAGGGGATATAAATTTCTGCAGCAGACAAACAGTAATTCAAGGCTGGAAGGCATGACCACTGGGGAGCAATTTAATCGACTGTGAGCAGCTATCAGAACGAAACCACCACGCTTACCATCACGATCTCGCCGAAAAATAGTAAAGCCAGGAAAGCATGGTGCTAATTCGGAATCGCTTATTGAACGGTTTAGCCACGTTTCAGTTAAGAGAACAAAGTGGCATTCTGTCGTGGCAGATAAGATTAAAGAGCGAGTCGAGTTTCGGCAAGAGGCTTCTAATGTTAGTGTGTACAATTGACAAAAGTTCAGGGTTCAATTTAGGATTCGCTGGGGTGGGAGGTGGTAGCTATGAGCGGAGGGGATTACTTTTTCAGAAGAGCGATCGAAAACGTAAGTGGTGCCATCAATGGTTAGTTTGTTGTACCGAAGTTTATAGGCCTTGCGAGATGCTTTACCAAATTCAATAAGGTGCTTACGGGCCTTGCGTGTGTTGGGGGAAAGATCTTCGCTAATGCTGTAATTGGTGTCTTTTAGTTTTTTGGCGTTGGACAGCACTAGTTCTCGATCCTTGAAATGGCAGAACCGGACAATGATGGGCCTATTTTTACTTAGTTGAAAACGCCCTATGCGGTGAGTGCGTTCAATGTCTCTACGTTGGACTGAAACTTCCAGATTGGCAAGACATATATCCATGACGCGCTTCTCAGACTGTGCCCAAGTCTCGTCACTGGCATCTTCAAAACCGTAAAAGACAAGGTTGCATCGTCGCTGTCTGTCCTCAGAGTCGTCCGTCCTGGCGACAACGCTGGATGGAATATATGCAACCGAGTGACTTTTCTATGCAAAACATTCTACAAAATATACTAGTATCTAAAGAAGTGAAAAGTGTGTAACTTATGACGAGTAAATAAAGAAGACCCAGAAGCGCATGCCCCACGTCTTCACAGTTTAGTCCTCAACGGTACGCTTCCTCACTCTGCAAATGACTGTTCATCAATCTCATGGCTACAAGACATTCGTTAGCAGTAAAGCTGTCTTTTAGGCTAGTTGGTTCATTATTGAACACATATTTCGATTGCGCGAAAAAAAAAACACCGATGAAGAAAAGTACACGGGATAGGCGCCCGTCCTGTGTACTCACCTTCATTCGTGTTTTTTTTTTTTTGCGCTACCGAAATATGTGTTCAAGACTGCAAGACATTTTCATTTCTTGGTTGTAAAACCTCATTTCTTTAAATGCGGATGTCGTATGCTGCTGTCCCTCTGTCACCCGTCGCCACGCATCATCGCCTGCCACGTTGAAAAAAACCTGAATAGCACAGCCATTCATTGCATAGCAACGTAGAGTACAGCGACGAGGCGGAGAAAAAACACGGCATGCCTATGAAGTTATTGAACATGAGAAGGCGAAGCAGTGAGTCTTTCGACGTTACTCGGTGTTATTGTAAATCACCCGTAATATTGACCACACACGCATGTAAATAAGTTCCCAGTGGTGTACAGATATATAATTACTTATTGGTCATAACTGGTATGATGTGTTTACTTCTAAATTGTGTTTTGTCTCCATTATTATTGCTTCATGGTATCGGTTCTAGCCTGAACTTGGCGAAGAGGAGGTCCGGGCACGTTCCCTTGGTGGTTGTTGGTTGTTTCCAGGTATAAGTGCATCGTAGAGCATTTTGAGACGTCATTTAGATCATCATCATCACCAGCGTCATCGTCATGGCGTAGTACTGAGTACCTTTCATGTGCTGTGCCGTGATGGCTGAGAGAGAATGTGTGGTCCGGAATGCGCTTGTTCTTCATCGTCATCAGTACCATCGTCATCGTGTTCGGCTACGGCGAACGCCAACGCCGCCAGCGGAAAAAGCCTCGACCTTAAAAAGCTTCGTTAGTAAAATTGAAGGGAGAGGAGTGACGGGGATGGAGGGCAGAAGGTAAAGCATGAAATAGCCATTCATTGCGTCACGCAGGGTAAAGAATAAATACAACAGTCATGTGCAGTACAGCACAGCAAGAACGCGGGAAAGGGAAGCGACAGTAAGTAAGAGTGATGTGAAAGTGGGAAGTATGGAAAAAAGGAAGATAAAAGGTAAAGTATCGCGTAGCCATGTGTTGCGCAGCATAGCCGCCTGTAATATAATATAGAAAGGGGTGAAAAAGCAGGAAAGTAGAGGGTAGAGCATGGTATATAAAGTATAGAATAACAAAGCAATGTGCAGTAAAGCACAGCCGTACGTGGAAAAGGAAAGTGATTGTGAGGAGGGGGGTAAAGACAGCACAGTCATGTATGGCGTCATGCATTGAACCCATGTAAGCAT